CTGTATTCATAATGGACAGCCTCTGATATCCCTGTATGGGCAAAGGCTTAATTTGTCCTGTGCTGTAGGTTGCCCTTGGTCTTGCCCTATGATTCATTGGCTTCTCCTAAACTTTGAGTGATGTAATTTAATTATATCAGACAAAATAACTTGGGGTTACAGATTTTACTAGTGCAAGAGATGGATTATGGTTATTTGCTAATCATAATTCATTGATTGTCCAACAATAAAATATAACAGAGGTCATGAGATCTAATAACTGTTACACAAGAATTTATTTTGTGTTTTGCAATGGTGCAAGTTTGGTCTACCTTTGGTATCTCGATTGAAACTGGCTATGGAGGCATCACAAAAGAACTACTGTATCTCTTTTATGATATAAATCATGTCACTGCATAGGGATATTCATGTCTGGAAGATGGAGAGAGTTTATTAATTGGAAGCACAGTTCTTTGTAGACATGTGTGGAATCCACAGTACTCTGTCTTATTTATTCACCATCCTGGGCACACAGATAAGTTTGTGTTAGTGTGTCAGCATTTATTTGGGGGATTCTTTTTGAACGTACTGTATTCACATTAAAGCATAAAGTTACATAGAAATTTGTAAGGGAGAAATGCATCTGGTTTAATTTAATTTCCCATTAAGACCTTAACTCAATTTCCTTAACAGCCTCCCAGTAGGTTAATAAATACTGTATATAATATTGGGGGGAAATCCAGTAATGTTGTAAAATCTTGTTGAATCATGACGCAGAATTGGAGACTGATAAATGTACTGGCAAAGTGAATATGAAGCATGTACTTACCTTGTTTATTTATATGCTGGTCCTCAAAATCGATGCACATTGACTATCTTTTTAAAGGTTGGTGACATAATCTGGCAAGAGTGAAGTAACTTAAATTTCACTGGGGGACCTGGCTTTAAAAGTAGGGACGGGCAGCATGCAACCCATTGGTTCTTTGAAAAAAAGTTTGTCCCAAATGGTGATTGATAGCCTGAGCAGTTTCTAGGGGTTCAGAGTTGCCATATTAATGTATTTTTGATCCTTCACGTGTTTGGGGCCATAGCACCTTCCTTCCTTCCTTTTATTTTTAGAAAAACAAAAATGATTACCTGGTTACTTTTTGTTTTGAAAAAACGCCTTTTCTGGTGTATAACCGGCTTGGGGGGAATTACATAAACATGACAAGTGGTGCTTTCTCCAAAGTTTTGTGGAGTTTCATTTGCAATTTTGGACCCAGTTGTTTTTAGGGATGGAAACTGCAGCCCCTGCCCCCCCCCCCGAATGTGCACACCACTGCTTGACAAAGATTGTGTCTGTTATGTGAATGGTGCAAGTCTTGCTACTCAATTGATTGCAATATTTTTGCTTTGTTGCATGTCTTCTGTTTGTACCAGAATTTCACCAAATTGCATTCGAGTCTTACTCCTATATTGTAAAAAAGGAAAAGAAACAGGAGTGTGGTGCAGTGAATGTTAGATGGGCCAGGGCAAATAAGTGAATAAGGTGAAACCTAACCAAGCCAAAAGGGATATTCTATACCTTCTTTTGTAATGTTTGTTGAAAAAGGTTATTCATTCATTTCATAGGATTTGGTTTCAGCTTGTAATGTTCAGATATCAGTGATGCGGAAGATCAGCTCTTCACCCTCTTCCATTTGGGAACCCTCTGGAACAGGTTTCTGCTATATACCTCCCCATACATGGCTATGATTAGTCATCTGTGGCACACTGATGGCCAAGCAAGGATGGATGCCAGGGTGTGAATTGTTTGTGGTTTTATGAGATGGATGCTGGATTCTATTGCCTATAAAAGGCCATTTCCAAAGGGTGACTAAGAGACAGAAGGTGGGTGCAACGTATTTGGAGAAGGCTGGTTTATATAAGCTAGTTTGGACCTTGTTTGCTGTGTTTGTACACGTGCAGTTTTATCCCATCCTTCTCTAAAGAAGCTCAAAGTAATGTCCCTTCCCCCACCATTGAACCCCACAGCATCCTTATAGGATAGTATCAGTTTGATACGGCTTTATTATGACTTCACCCTACAGAATGCTGTGATTTATAGTTTGATGAGATACTTGATTTCTGTGCTATAGTTTAGGAAAGAGAACTAGTACTCTCAAGTGGAGAATGCTAAATGTATTAATGAACTATATGATGGCAGTACTAATACCAAGCTGCTATCATTGTTTAGTGCAGATACACTTTTACGTTTTACGCAGCGGAGAGATGACAACTACTCATGTCCATGGATCATGTCCTTCTCCCTACATGAAGCTGGTGAGCTTCCAAGACCTAAATCAGTTAATCAGTAAAATAAAATAAAAAGGCTAGGGCAGGAGGAGAAGGAGGAAGAGGAGCAAGCAGGGGAAATGTTCGAAGCCACCCGACTTTTAGGGCCAGCTTGTTTTGTTGCCTGAGGTGCAGCAGGAAATGTCTGCCCCGCCCCGTCCACCCAAGTCAGGCCATGCAATATCCAAAACCAGTCAAATTATATTTGGCAGGGGAGCCAGAAGATCTTAAAACACATTTCTCCATCCCTGGCAAAAGACTAATAACACACTAAATAACTACCAATCCACTGCCATTGCATGGAAATCAAAATCCACTGCCCAAGGCCATCATTTTCCTGTGCCTAATGGTGGGACTGGACTTGTTAGTTTTGCCCCTCTTAGGCAATTTATCTTGCGTCCCACCTTGTTATAGATATATGTCCTCATGTACTTAATGTATTGCAAATATTTCTATACTGACTTTCTGAGTCCAAAGCAAATCATAACAATGTAGTAATCAGATGTGACTTAACAAAGCATTAAGACAGCTTTCTGTAGAAAGAAACATAATACATGGAAATATAAATCAGTATTTAAAAAGTAAAGATCAGTTGTTGCTGTGTGTGTTTTGGGCCTTACTGGCTGGGATTAGATTGGAAAAACCTTCCCACGACTCCAGGAAGTGGAGTAATCTGTCCTTCACTGTCAATAGCAATTGGGAGTGAAAGGAATGCCCTTGCTCTTTTCCCTTCTGAATATTTCTAGGGGTGCAGGGATGGGCTGTGTCCAGAGAGTTTTCCGGCTGTTAAATACGATCGAAGCATCAAAACACACACACACAAACACACACACACACACACACAGAGAGAGGTCTAATGGCTTGAAGGCCATCTTTGCTTTTGGAAAAGATAAAACGGACAGTTTAGGAAATTAGGCCTTGCCCAAAACAACCACCTGTCTGTACTTCTCTGCCTTTTCCCTGATTAGACATCTTAGTCCTTTTTATCAGCAGTTACAGATGGGAGTATGGGAGTGAGAAGGGAAACCTCAGACCTGGAATTGATGAGAAGGTGTGCAGCTGAGGCCAACTCGGTTGCTTCAAGGCCAAACCCTGCCTTTTTGTTACAGAGCCAACTCAACAGGCTGCACAGCCCAGAATTGAAAGGCTTTTTGAGTTGTAATCTTTCCCAGACATCTTTGAAAGCCTCAAGCATATGTTTCTGCCATCACCTGTTGTAATTTTAAAAGTTACCGTATTACGATGCAAGTGATCCTTGGCTAGCAGGCAATTTGGAATGTGTGTCTTGTAAGGAGAACGTTTTTTGGTGGTTGTTGGGTAGCAGCTGGTGGCTGATATATTGCTGAAGGTTTGGATATTTTGACCCATGCTGCTGGGGCACTGGGCTTTGGGCAAGGCAGGAGGACAGTTCCACCAGTTGGCAGACATGAACAACTTGCCTAGATTGATGTGACTGTAGCAGAATTCACAGTTACCACTTAAGGAAAAAGTATCTGTGAGAGTTCTTTTGTGTTTGGGTGGTCTCAACTGATACCTTCCTCACTTCTAGGCTAGAATAAGGCAGGGAGAGCAGGGTTTTTGTCCTTGTCAAACTTTGCACAAAACTAGGGCCTTTCTCCTTGAAAAGCAATGCACATGTTAAAATGTGATTAAATTCATGTTTGTGTGGCTATGCTGCATAAGGCTGATGGCATAATCAGCCACTGTGATATTTCCTATCCCCCTCACCCAAAAAAGTCTGAAGTCTCCCATGGGTTCCCTTTCACCATGGAGAAGCTGCTGGTGGTTGTGGGGCGGGGTAGGTCCTCAGTCCTGTGTGACAGCTTTCCCGGTGCTTGCCATTATCGGAAATTAAATTCTTCTATCCCGTAGCCCCCAATGGTTTCTTCACAACAAAGAGGGCTCTAATGAGGGTATTAGGATGTTCAAAGAGGGGAATCGGAAGTGTTTTATTTCTGAAAATGCACTAAGGTTGATGATGCTTTCAATCTTACGCAGTGTCCCTATAGAAACAGTGACTGGCTGACGCTTTTAAAACCACACCAACCTTCCCCAGATTGTGTAAGGTTTCTGGTCCTTGAAAGCCTGTGCAACAAAGCAGCAGCTTACTGCTATTTCATGCCATTTGTGTTATTTCCATTTGAAGCATTATTTGGGCTAACTGTGTAGTTCTTGTGGACTTTTGTTAAGGATGCCACAAAATATCATGTTGTCTCATGGGGTGAGGAGAATTACTGTAGCAGTTCCTGAAACAAGTCTTTACAGCCCCCACTGCTTCCACCTGTTCATGGAAACTGCCTCTTGTCTTGCCTGTGGTTACCTTTTTTCACCACCACTGGGGGCTTGGAGTTGTTTGTGTAGCTGGAGAATTTGTCAGCTTTAAATGGATTGTTAGATGCACCTGATTTAATACACTTACCTGCTGTTTAAATTCTCTGGATGTATATGTGTTTCTGTCTAAACTATGGAGAGTGGTGCTGAGAAAACAAGAGTATTGCCCTCACAGACCCAAGTTGAACAAAAGGAATTGTGACACAGAAGTGCAGATGGGTTAGAGGTTTGCAGTGATTTCTGAGTCTGAATTGTATCACTGGAAGGCAGAAAGGATTAGAAGCCTAGGAATGCTGAAGTGATAGATTGTTTTCAGTAAACATTGAGTCTGTAAATACCTTTACCTTCTCTAAAAGCTGATCTCCCTCCTTTAGAGATCCAAGACCAACAAACCAGCGTGTGAATGAACATGTTAACAATGATGTCAACCTCCGGATTCAAAACCTCACCATCTTGGTCAGAAACATCAAGACCTATTATCAGGTATATTTTCTGTACTCTTTATATCTGAGACATGGGGGGCATGTTTCTTAATGAGGCAAAGGGTTGCCACAGAAAATGAAGCTGTGTTCGCTGAAATGTTTTCAGTTATGCTCTGATCTTTGTAGCATGAACTGACTTGCGGAATTTTAATTTTGTTCCTGTTCCAATAAATAAGTTTACTTCTCTGCAGGTTTGCAAGAGGTCTTGCGAGTTTGTCTGAGTCTACAGAATTTCAACACAGATTCACTTAACTGATGTTACAGAAGCTATATATTAGCTATATATATTAGCAGCATCTTAGTTTCTCACAATATTAAACAACTTAAGGGGTTTGTCCTTTTCTTGTAAGGTCTGTTGTGCTCTTGTGTATTTTCATGTGATGACCTCAAACCTTGACAGTATATATGTTGCTTAATTGGGTTCAAGATCCGAGGCACAATATCAGTCACCAAAACAACCTGCCCTCAAATGATTAAATGTGTTGTCTTTGGGACTTCTGATAGATAGATAGATAGATAGATAGTACAATATCAGTCACCAACACAACATGCCCTCAAATGATTAAATGTGTTGTCCTTGGGACTTCTGGATATATATATAACTTTAGCCTCTGCAGCAGTTAACAGTATTTTTTTTAAGATATGGGCATTTCAAAAGAAAACAAATGCTTAGGAGTGCTCTTGATAGATAGATATGGGCATTTAAAAAGAAAACAAATGCTTAGGAGTGCTCTTCTCTGCTAAAGGATGTTGATTTAATAGGCAAATAAAGAAACAAGGACTACAAAATTAGAAGGTGCCAGACCTGTGCTAGTCTCTTGTCAGAGATATCAGAACTTTTGTTAATCTCAATTTTAATATGTAGTAACTTACTAATAAAAAGGGTAATTTAATTGTGACTTGTACTTGAAAAATGATTGAAGAAATGCTTTTGAAAAATCACCCTACAACTATTGCATCTGTAGTATGTGATGTGTTGAGGGGTTGATTTCTGAGTATCCTCAATAATAATACTTGAATGTTGCTTATATGTGCAATAATTAGAGCAGCTTCCTTTGTTAAGTGCTTCCATTGTGTGGTGTCTGGGAACTAGCCTTTATTGTTCATCTTTGGTTTGCTTGTGTTTTAAAAGTCCCCATAGCACAACAGAGATTGCTGGTTGATGTTCCCCTTGGAAATTGTCAGTAGGCTGAGCTCTTAGCTGAGTGTGAATTGATTTTGGTTATCCAGTTGTGTCTGACTAGAAAGGTCAGGCATGTTTTATTGTTTGAGCAATTGAGAAGTAGCTTCATGGGTTGTACTGAGTCCTGGACCAGACATTGTATTTCATGAAATATGTAGAAAAACAAAATTATCCCTGCACTTTACATGGTTAGCTGTTTTTAAGCCAAACAGCAGTGAGGGTCCTCATGTAAAATCTTATTGCAGATAAGCATCTGTAACTAAGATGACTATTTTTACGCCTAAATAACAATAAGTGTGTGCCATCAAGTCAGTTCCAACTTATGGCAGCCCTTTTCATGGTTTTCTAGGTAGAGAACATACTATACAGAAGTGGTTTACCATTTCCTTCTTCTGGGGGTGTCCTGAGACTGTGCAGCTTGCCCATGACTTCACAGGCTGGTTCTTACCACAGGAGGATGAAGAATCAAACTCCTAACCTTTGACTCCACAACCAGATTCCTAACTCACTGGGCTATCCAGTTAGTGCTCAGCCTACATTACTACATGATGAAGGTGCTTACAGATGTGAATCTTTCAGTCAAATGCACGAGTTTTATCCCACGATGATTCTCTGCCCCAGAAACTGGCAGGCACATAAAAATGACACTGGAAATGAGAAAATATTACAAGCCATATGCTATATAAAAGTTCTATATGATATGGATAGATAATCATTGATTGCTCAAGTGTGTTTCCAGGGGTTTGAGTCAGACAACTACAAAGCCAAAGAACTTGGAAACTGATGAAGGAAGGAGAAAGACTCTAAATCAGGCCTTTAACCTGTTCCAGCATCTTTCTAGGCTGTTGAATTTATTTTTACAGTCTCATAAATCTCATTTGTTACTCTACAGCAAATAGTAAAAATTTGCATTTTGTAATGGTCGGAGGCCTAATAGCAAGACTGAGCATGTTTTTGTTTCTTTATATTCCCTCTGTCTCCAAATGTCTAATTATGTTGTTGCTTTGTCAGGTTAGTGCTTTTGTCTCTGATCCAGGTTATACTGTTTCATAGAGCAAATAAAAGCATTGTGGAAATCCAGATTGATTTTTTTTATCTGTGGCTGCTTGAAAAACAAGTAGAGCAGTTTAAGAATACTCTACATGGGTTTTGGAAGATACAAAGAGTAGATTAGACTCTATGACCAACATATGTCAAGACCAGAAACCCAGTTTTCTACTGTATGTAAATCTGTTCTACAGTCTGGTAGTTCTTAGAGCAATTGTTCAGAATCTTCCTCCTTGTCTTTTAATGTGTATCTTACTCTTTTTAATAAATAAAACAACTCAGAACTTAAGCCCAGAAGGTAAGCCAGGTTATCAGATTGAAACATGGTTGTTTTAAGTTGCAGGCTTGAAGTGGGGGAGTTCCTGAATGCTTCTACAAGGAAAATATGAACATCAGAATATTGTATGTTGGTGGTGATGCTTTTCATTTTCCTAATTATTGTGAAATCAGTGTTTGCTGGAATGTGTCTTAGAAAAAGGACATGTGGCATGCTTAACGTTCTTATTCTCCAGAATTGAACTTGTGAAGTTGCCAGTTTTTAAATCCCCCTTTATTTAGTAATCCTTGAACTTGGGCTTCTTAAGAGAACACAGTTAACAAACACTGGATTTCTCCTCCATCATACCTCTACCTTTAAGAACTTGTGGCTCTAATTCATCCATCTCCCCCTAGCCACTTAAAACATATTGTTTTTTCCAATTCCAACTTGCCAGATTATTTGGCTAGCCAAGTTTTGGGTCCATTTACCTGGATTCATCTCACATCTGTTTCCACACTCAGTTGACCCAGAAAGAGCTTGTAATGGTCTCTGTGACTCACACAAATGGCCCTGGAGCAGGGAAGCTGACAAGTGATTGGGTCTGAGTCCCAAGTCTGAGTCTTTGGTACCAAGTCCTGAGTCCCCAAGTCCAAGTCCCTGTTAAGCCTAGTGGCGCAGTGGTTAAAACACTGTATTGCAGGCAAAACTGTGCTCATGACCTGGGGTTCAAATCCCAGGTAGCCGGCTCAAGGTTGACTCAGCCTTCCATCCTTCCGAGGTCGGTAAAATGAGTACCCAGCTTGCTGGGGGGGCAATGTGTAGCCTTTATAATTAAAATTGTAAACCGCCCGGAGAGTGCTTGTAGCGCTATGGGGCGGTATATAAGTCCAATAAATAAATAAATAATTCACTTAACAAATTAAATTGCAGTAACACCCTTATTTCCAAACTGTACTGGAGAGCCACTGCTAAATAAATAAATATTAAAATGAAATGTGTGGTATAGATCATTGTGCCATGTTCTCAAGTGAGAAGCAGTGCATAAAATGAGGAGCTTAAACCAGCGTGGTTTCCCAGCAACTTTTATCTTATTAAACATTTATTAACACTGAAAATGTATGGTTTGCAAGGTGTGCTGGGGAAGGAGAAAAAAATATTCCCCAGATTTCCTGAAGTCTCACTATCTACTTGAGGCAGGATGGACTTTGCAACAAAAAGATTAATTGTTTTTCCTATACTTGACTGTTGTTTGCAAGCCATGGCACATATACTGTAAGTATAAATGAATGATTTTTTATAGCAAGGAATTATTATCCAGATAATAAAGGAACTCCTATTCTAGGAAACAGATATGAACACCGGTGTTGTATCTATAGACAAAAAACAAGGGAAAGCCAATGAAATAATAGCTTTCTACAATGGCATGGAAGGCTTCAGGCCTAAATGCACTTTGGAATCAAATGCTGTCGTAAATCGGCACTGTAAATAAAGCCAATTGTTGCTCTAGTTTGAGTGAAGCAGAAAAGTCAGAGAAAGACCTTGTGGCACCGTAAAGATTAAACATTATATTTTAGTGTAAGGTTTAGTGAAACGTGTCCACTTCATCAGACATATGGGTCTGACAAAATGGGCTCGTTCCACAAAGGTTTACAACATTAAAATATAGCAGTTATACTACCTTTGCTTTGCTTTGTGTTTCTTGTTGAAATGCTTGTATGGACTAACACAGCTTTTCTTGAGTCGAAAACCTAAGAAAAATCAGAGCATAAGTCAGAATCGGAGCGATGTCTAGCTTCACTTACAGTGCAGTCAGATGCATGTTTATAGCGAGACATACTCCACAGTGCACTTTGGACTGCAGCTTTGGCTACTATTGTGGGAAGTCTTTACTGTTTGAGGTACAGGTAGAAACAAGCATGACTTAATGTATTCTTGAAGGCTTTCGTGGCTGGGATCTGATGGTTGTTGTAGGTTTTCGGGCTGTTTGGCTGTGTTCTGGAGGTTTTTTTCCCTAATGTTTCTCCAGTCTCTGTGGCCGGCATCTTCAGAGGACAGGAGTTAGAACCAGGCCACAGAGACTGGCGAAACGCTAGGGAGAAAAACCTCCAGAACATGGCCAAACAGCTCGGAAAACCTACAACAAGCATGACTTACTTCATGTACAAATATTCCCTGCATTGAAAACTAGATGTCATGGAGAATATTTCTGGATTAGTCTTCTCTCAGACATCCTAGCTGGGATGAAATTGGTCTGTATCTGTCATTTTCCCAGGGTGCTATAGGACTTTGGCCATTGTCTTATGGATTGTATCATAATACAATATATTAACAAATCTGACTGTCTGTTGCAAGTATTAGCGTAGGGTTTTTTCGTACCAATTCTGAAAAAAAAGAGTGCAGACCTGTTCTTCCAACTGATTCAGTCAGTGTGTAGCAGTGAACGAAACCTGTGATGATGTGCCACTGGTTCATGATATATGCTGCATTGGTTGTGAGTAGGTACCAGAGCAGT